AAAAATTAGCTGGGCGTGGTAGCGTGCGCCTGTAGTTCCAGCTACTTGGAAGACCGAGGCGGAAGGATTGCTGGAGTCCAACAGGCCGACACTGGGGTGGCTGTGATTATGCCACCCTCCAGCCTGGGCGATGGAGGGAGACTCCAACTCAAAACAACAACAACAAAACAGGGATGCGGGGGTCGGGGGTGTGGTGCTGGGAGTACAGGCTGAGCCACCGAGTCCGGCCTAATGCTACCTTTTAAGTGGACCCTTGAGGTGGGTTGGCCTACCCTAGCCTTTGCAGGCGCTGGGGTCCAGACGAGGGCTGAGGTCCCGAGTAGTGATTTTCGAGGATTTGGTTATCGATGTCCATTTACGACACTAAAAGCAACCTCAAAGTAGTCTCAAATGTGCATTACTGAAGCCTTGTTTCTCCTTCCTCCTGGTTTTCTCGTGGACGCTGGTCTCAGATGTGGATTGCCCGGCGCGGCCAGGACCAACTTCATGCCTGATACCTGATGGAGTGCGGCGCAAAACTCATGGAGACTTTGGCTAGTTTCTAAAGTGAATTTTAGAGCGGACAGCAAAGTTTAAAAAGTAAGTTAATTAGAGAAAGAAGAGAAAAAAGAGAGGGAGACATGCGGGAGTTGACATGGGGGAAAGAAATCACACCTTTTCTTTTTACAATGGACCTGATATACCTCCAAATGATTGATATGTTAAAGAGGGTGGAGCCTAGGTAACTGCCACTTTGGAGATTGACCTCTCTGGGCTCCTGATGGGAGGAGGGAAGTGGGGGGGGTCTTTTCCTGACCACATTGTCTTGCAGGAGACCTGCCAGATGTCTGCCACAGGGAACCTGAAAGTTTCTTGGTGATTATTATGCGACACCATTAATCAAAAGGTTGGACTGTCCTAGTCTTACATCTGATGGAGTTTTCTTTGGATTTGCTGAGGGGGTGGGGTAGGCTGCAGCTTAGTCTGCAGCAAAATGTAATTTTTTAATGTCTGGGCTGGGCACAGTGGCTCAAGTCTATAATCTCAGCGCTTTGGGAGGCCGTGGTGAGAGGATTGCCTGAGCCCACGCGTTGGCTCAATACATCAAAAAGTTAGCTGAGCGTGGTGGTGCATACCTGTAGTTCCAGCTACTTGGAAGGCTGAGGCGGAAGGATCGCCTGAGCCCAGCAGATCCAGGCTGCGGTGGTCATGAGCATGCCACTGCACTCCAGCCTGGGTGACAGAGTGAGACTCTAGCTCAAAAAAAAAAAAGTCTGAACACTTCCTAAAACCTGCCCACGAGAAATGTATCGGTCTAACCTGTGCTAGCTACCTTGTCTCAATGCCGGTACCTTCCATTGTCCCTGGTGTCAGATCTCTAGCTCAGTAGATAAAAAAATATTAAGTACCAAAGAACTTATTTTTAAGACTACAAGGGAAATGTACAAGTGTGAAAATAAACATAATTTAATTTTGGAACTCCTGAAATACTGTGAGCCTTGAGAGAGATAACTGTTCTGAATCACAGGTTACAACTCCGGTTCTCAGATTGTAGATTAACTCACTTGCAGGGACAGAAGCCTTCTACCTTTTTAACTAGTGACTCTTGTTACTAATTAACTTGCCCTTTGTTGTCCTGCTTTGCTTACACCAGGTAACAGAAAACCTATGACTATTGCAAATCTGTAAAAAATGTCAAATATACTCTTCCCAAAAGAAATACTGCCTATAACTTACAGATTGCTGTAACTAAATGCCAACAACATATGAAACTTTTTGGTTTTGTTTTTATTTTTTACCTTACAGCATGCATATTTATTGAACAAATACTACTACAGTAGCTAAAATGCATTGGGTACTTGTCATAAGTGCCTCAGTAAAGATCACATTGTTACAAAAGCTTGCATTTTCAGCCGTACACAGCTGCAACTCTACATAGATGCCACAGATGCAGAATATTGTTCTCTTGCTGTATTTACACAACTGATATACCTATTCTAACAAAGAAGGGAGGGGAGAAATGCACAAGAAACTCAGGCCAATGGGGGAATGAAAAGAGAATGAAATAGTGCAGTACATGCGTCATCAGTGTTTTAACAATCAAGCAGAACAGTTTAGAACAAGGCCTGCCCTGTCAAAGAAAAAGCTAAACGACAGTTATATAAAAATTAAGGTGAGCTTTCAGACTGGCTAACACACAACTTTCCATGAGTAGATGGTATTTTATTTTTGTTTGTTCATTTCATTGGGAGCAAGGACAAAAATGTAAAATCTATACCTTACTTCAAAACCGCCAAAAAAGAGTGCTCTGCCTTGTTAAAAATTAGTATTATTTTGTAAATAAATGTTTTCCAACTTTATTTTTGGAAAAAGCTTAATTTTCTATTCCTACTCAGTTGCCAATGTTTTCTATTTTTTCCCCCAGAGGGATGACCACTTATATACCTAATCCTGAACTGTACCCCACATCTTCAAGATTAAAAAAAAAAATTTAACTGGGTGCAGTGGCTCATGCCTGCAATTCCAGCACTTTGGGTAGTGGAGGCAAGAGGACTACCTGAGTCCAGGGATTTGAGCCCAGCCTGGGCAAATTGGTGAGACCTCATCTCTACAGCAAACCACAAAAATTAGCCAGATGTGGTGGTATACGCTTGTGGTTCCAGCTACTTGGAAGGCTGAGGCAGAAGTATTACCAGAGCCCAACAGGTCTAGGCTGTGGTGGCCATGAGCATGCAACTGCACTTCAGCCTGGGCAACAGTGAGATTCTGACTCAAAAAAAAAATTGTCCTTTTTTCTCAAATATCCTTTTGATACAGAGACCCACTAATGTCTATCCATATTGTCACAGTCCCTAGAGAAGGGCATGGCAAGGGCTCAAGTGCTTCTGTACATTCCTGAAAAATATTCCTGAGAGCTAATAAAAGGTGCACTTTCCCCTTATCTCCTATATACTCCCAGTACATGAAGGGCCACTGCCAAGCCACAAGTAAAGCTACATCCCTCCCTTTCCTGGAAACGGCGATCCGGCAAACTAAAATGGCGATTGAAATAGTGCCTTCCTTTGTTCTTCCTTGGTGCCTTCCTTTGTTCTCCCTCTGCACCCCTTCCGCGCCCGTGAAAAACCCACCAACCTGGATGGAGTTCTGTCAGCCGACCAATAATCGACTGACAGGTCGCCCTAAGCCCCCATAAAGGCTGGAGTGCCCTTGCTTCAGTGCTACAGCCTGACCCTCAGGTCCTGTAGCCACTGCATTTGACCCATTAAATCTCTTGGCCCTAGCCGGGCTCAGTGGCTCAGCCTGTAATCCTGTGCCTTTGGGAGGCTGAGGTGAG